AAAGATTTGTTCCACTGTATGCTAATGTTTCTTCTCCAAGTTTTGGGTTAAATTGGCATATGTGAAAAATAATTGCTACTATATCTAATTGACTCATTGTTATAAGTTGTACTAAAGCACCAATTATATTCTAATGTGGTAATCATATCATCTCCTTCTTCTCCCCCTCAGAACATGGTTTATTAGCTTTAAAAAGTCTATGGAACTATAGTGCCAGAGTTGGGGTGATGTGTGTAGTAAAAAATCTATCGTATTTTTTTATGAGATTAGAGATATACTTGATCTATCACCTAGAGCTATCTAGCAAGTTGTTCCTTTGGCCATCATAAATTCAATGTCTTCCTAGCCACAATGAAATCATCACTATAGCTATAATTATTAACTCTCACATACAACAGTGTGTTTGCTTTTGCATAGGTGAAACCAAATATTAGAAAAATTTGTTTAAGATATTTATATCCTTGGGGATTGTTTAAATCCATAAATAGACCACTAAAGTTTGTAACAAAAAGTGTTTTTTTCCACATACTCTGAACTCAAGAGGCTGATGTATATACATTAAGTGTTCCAATTCACCATTCACCAATTCACCAAACACGTTCTTAATGTTTATGTGTTCAACCTCTATATCCAAATGGTTAGCTATAATAAGAATTAATCATATAGAAACCATTTTAACCACAGGTGAAAAGATTCTCATTGTATCATTGTATGTAGCATTTTGCTCCTAATCTCACCTTATACTCACTTAAACTCTTAATACTTAAGTTTGTATACCCACTTACACTGTATAATCATTGCCTCCTTTAGAACATTTTGTGATGCAACCAATATCTAGGAATGTTTTTCTAATTGTTTGTTGTACCTTAACTACATTGCTACTTTTCAGTGAAAACATTACAGGCTCGAAAGTGCTTCCTCTAGCATTGTCGGTGATTTATGTAACTTGAGCATAATACCTTAAAATATTCTTCGTTAGTTTCCACAAGTGAGAAGATCATCTAGGAAAAGTTCTTATTGTTGATATATCTTTAGATGTATCTTGTTCCAAGTCATCTGTTATTGTACCCTTAACAGTCCCCATGTTAAAGTCATTAAAGAAATTACAATTCTCATTGATTTATATCTGGAATGGGGCCTTCTAAGGGTATGATTGAGTCCTCATATTTGTTAGAACTGAATTTAAAAATATTTTGAATTTTTCTTGTGACTATATGAAAATATAGAGTATACTAGAACTGTTTCACAAAAGAAAATAGTGCACCAAACGAGCACCTTCTTTTGACTAAAGATCCATACTTTGTCACTTTTTGTATTCTCACTATAACCTAGCACCATACACCTTGTTGATTGCTCTTCAGCTGAAACGTATGCAAAACCTACACATCCAAACACAGTAGTAAGTATGCAAAAGAAGGTTTGGTACTTGTCTATATTTCTTGTAGTGTTTTTCCTAGTAGAATGTGCACAGCTGTGTGCATAGCCTCTGCCTAGAAGGATGTTGGAACATTCATGGCTTTGAGCATCACTCTTGCTATATCAAGAATAGTAAGCATCTATCTCTCCTTAACCCCATTTTGACTATGATCATATGGCATAAAGGTTTGGAGTGATATGTTACGTGATGTGAGGATAGTGTGGAATTCTGCAGAGAGAAGTTCCTATCCTCCATCAGTTCTGAGTTTCTAATGTGCATTCCAAGTGAGTTCTCTGACTTCTGAATCCACTCAAAAAACTTTTGAGGAATGTCAGATTTCTACTTTAGAAAACAAACAGCAGTGGCACGACTAAGATCATCTATAATTAGTTGAAAATATCAAGTATTGTTTAATGATTTTAATGGTGATAGTCCCTAGATATTGTCATGAATCAAGTCTAAAATAATTTAGGAAGCTTTTTTGAGCAATGGTTTCGTCTTCATTCTCACCTACAAGTAGCTTTCACATGGAAGTTTGGTATCTCCCCTACTAGCTAAGGAGTCTTCTTGACTTTAAAACTTGCATGTCCTAGTTGTAGATGCCATAACTGTGAAATTGAGTCATCAGTAATAGAGATAACATTCACACTTCGAGAATCAAGAGAAATAAGAAAGGCCATTTTTAGCCATCGCTTGAACAATCCATATGTGATGAGAATGAAATTTATGGTTGGAACATATAAAATAGTAAAAATTTCAAGCTGAATGCAAGGAAAAAAAATAGTTTCAAAAACTATTATTCTTAAAGCCTCACCACTTGCTATACTCACAAATGCAGAAAATGTTTTTAAACTTATTTTTTGAAGGAACATTTTATTCAACATCATTTGGTGTGTAGTGCCGCTATCTCGAAGCCAATTTGAATTTTGAGATATGCCCAGCTCAACATAATCTGCAGACAGAGGATAAATTCTAAGAAAAAGAAATACTATTAAGATCGTCATCTTCCTCAGCTGTTGCAAGACCTCTTTCATTTGCAGTCCTTTTGGCTCAGATAGTTAGCAGCAAAGTGTCCAAATCCACATTATTCATTGCAACAAACATTCCCGTACATCAAACACGCTTGATCCACTAAATTCCATTCGCTCCCAGTTCTCTGTCTTTTGTTTGGCACCCTTCCAGTCATATTGCCACTATATCCTCCTCCTTGTAATCACTTGAGCCATCCTTTCCTTGAAAAATGTCATTTAAGTTGGTGTAGTGATGAATATTGGCAATACTAGATCCAGCCTTGGATGGAGTTGATTTGTTTGAAGCTCAATCTTGGCCTTCTCTGATACTTCTAGGATCATGAGAGCTCCAGTCGCATTTGAGAATGTTGATTGTCATTTGATTAGACTCATGAGCAAAGAAGAACTCCATATACTTCATAGCGAATTAGAGTGGAATGTGTATAGACACATGACAAACTGCCATGAGGCGTGACCTTGGATGCCACGTGGTACTGATGTGGAGAGAGCGAGGATTCACCATCCTCAACACTCCCACTCTCACCCAACACCAATCTCGGTGCTGAAGAAAGCGATCACAAGCCAATGGAGGGCTTTCTGCCAGTCCAGGCCTCCTCAGGAGTTCTTCCATCCACAACGGTTGTAGGTAATTAATTTTGGACGTAGTTAGCAAGGCTAATAGCGTCAACCCAAAAGGACTTAAGAAGGCCACTAACCTGTAGCATTGCACGTGCACTTTTTATTTCTTCCTGTTTTTCTGAGGAGAATATGCAGCTGTGAATTCACAAAGAATGCCAGCCTCTTGGCAAACTCGATTGAACTCATTGGATGTGTACTCACCACCTCCATCACACCTGAGTCGTTTCAAGCGCTGCCCAGTTTGTGTCTCGCCAACAGCTTTGAACTGGAGAAAATGCTGTAAAGCTTCAGATTTGAAGTGTAGAAAATACACCACTGTGTAGCGAGAAAGATCATCGATAAATGTGAGAAAATATCGATAACCACCTCGTCCAAGCGTCTGCATGGGACCACAGATATCGGTGTGGACTAGCTCCATTTTCTCGCCAGCACGATGAGCACGACCAGCAGGAAACGGTTTGCGTGGCATTTTTCCAAGCTGACAGCCATTGCAAAATGGTAACTCCACGGAAGTAGCGTCCAAAGTTAAGCCATCTACAAGGCCTTGTCGAGCTAAATTTTTGAAGATTCGCATGTCCAAAATGACTATGCCACAGCTCCAGATTGCGTTGATCATGGAGACCACAAGCATGAAAGCTCACAACATCTCCGCGTGGGATCACCTGCAACACATGCTCTCGTTCTGCCGGTCCAACATCGAGCTTGTAGAGTCCTCGATGAGCAGCCAATGCCTCTCCAGTAGGAGAAGTGATCAGGAATTTGTGAGCTGTGAGCTCAAGAGCATAACCGTCGTCTGCCAACTGGCCGACAGAAATCAGGTTCGAGCAAAGGCATGTGGATTACAAGTGTGCCTGTTCCATGAACTGGGATGCTAGCCGAAGTCCCCACGAGGACACGATCACCTGCGGTAGGGCGATAATCCTCCAGGTGAGAATCGTCACATACCATGTGATCTGTGGCGGCTGAGTCCAGAAAGAAGGAATTAGTCATTACAGAAGCAGGAAAGGCCCTCGCAAGGATCATAAAACTTCGTTTTCTATAAGGTGGTGGGAGTTGTCACAAAACCGCTGATTGCAACACTACTCCCTCACCACTTACGGCATTTGGAGCCTTCGTCTCCGAAAGACGAAGAAGCAAACAAAGATGGGTCGTCAATCTTTCTCCGGTGGAGCAGCCTCAGCATGCTTCTCGCCAATCCAACCAACCTATCCACTGCCACCACATCGACTGAATTGGAAGCTGACGCAGCCATTGGTCAGCCCCACCAATCCGCTCAATCGCCCCAAACGCTATCCAGTCTCGAAGGATTGCTCAGATCGCTCTCCCATTTGCTCCGATACCATGATCAGACTCATGAACGAAGAAGAGCTCCATATACTTCATAGCGAATGAGACCACTCACTTCACTAGTAGCACTGGCTTCAATGAAGAGGGCGTCTTTCTCGTTGCAAACCACAAGTCCATTCTCGCTTTCACTCACAACAAATCTGCCCGCCAAAGGGTAAAACTCCAGCAGCGCCTTGACAAAAGAGGTCTTGAGATTTGCTAAAACGGCCTCTAAGGAGAGATGAGGAGGAGGCTTTGGGAAGAAGAGAAGGTGAGTCATGTAAGGCACGAACCAGTGATCTTGGAGAAGAGAAGATTTTTAAATAAATATAAAGGAAGTTTTAAAGCAGAACCGTTGGATTAATGTTATCAACTTTAATTTATTTTTAACGTGGCATCTACGTGGATGATTGACGAGGCGTCGATCTGCCACGTGGTAACCATTTTTCTTTTGTATGCAACTTGGATCCTCGAGGGCGTGGTGCGTAGCAGCGATAAAAGAATGCCGGCACCAGTGGCAAGCGAAGATCATCCGTGCGTCGATCGCGCAGCTCGGATTCCATCGCGACACACTCCTCCCAAACCTCCTGGTGGCAATGTATGGCAAGATGGGCGATCTCGCGAGCGCGTGCGCCATTTTCCAGACGATCCATGCCAGGAATGTCGTCTCCTGGACGATCATGGCCGCGGCATTCGCCGCCAACGCCAGGTTCCGCGACGCCGTGCTGTGCTTCCGGTGGATGGAGCTCGGCGGCGTGAGACCCGACAAGCACGCCTTCACCACCATCGTGGAGGCGTGTACGGACGGCGCGCTTGGGCAGTACGGTATGGAGATCCAGGCGAGGATCATCGAGGCGGGGCTTGAATCCGATGTTTTCGTCGGCACCGCGATTGTACATATGCACGGGAAGCTTGAGAGAATCGATCGAGCCATCGCGGCGTTTAGTTGGATCAAAGAGAGGAACGTTGTCTCGTGGACTGCTATGATCTCGGCATTTGCCCATACAGGGCATTACAAAGAAGCGCTGGAGCTCCTTAAGAGCATGGATTTGGAAGGAGTGAAACCAAATTGTGTCACCTTTACTGTTCTTCTGGAGGCCTGTGCTGGTCTCGGGGATAGATTTTGCTGCGAGATTCTCCACTCCCGAATCGAGGGAAGCGAGAGCTCGATTTCTTCGGCAGAAACCGTGGTCTCGGCTCTCGTCTTTGCTCTCGGCAAATGCGGTCACGTCGATCGAGCCAGGCGCTCGTTCGAGAGATTGGAAGCGAAGAACTTGGTGTCGCGAACTGCGATGATGGCTGCGTATGCGCAGAACGGGCATCACAGAGAAGCGCTCCAACTCTTCCGGGAGCTCGATCTGGATGGGATCAAACACGATGCGGTCTCGTTCGTCAGCGTGCTGGAGGCGTCCTCGAGCTTGCAGATGGCGAAAAGCTTCCACTCGCGGATCCTCGCCAGTGGGATTCGCGTGAGCGTCATCACCGGCACGGCGCTCGTCACCACTTACAGGAAGTGTGGAGCTCTCGGCCTCGCGAGATCCACTTTCGATGGCATTGCCGGGAAGAGCATCCTGTGCTGGAACACGATGATCTCCGCCTACGCGCAGCACGGCCACGCCATGGAAGCGCTCAAGCTCTTCAACGCGCTCAAGCAAGCCGGGGAGAGGCCCAACAGCATCACCTTCGTGAGCGCCATCGCGGCTTGCGGCCACGTTGGTCGCCTCGACGACGCGGTCTACAACCTCTCGTCGATGATCGCCGACTACCGGATCACCCCCTCGAGCGAGCACTTGGGCTGCATGATCGATCTCCTGGGACGAGCTGGGCGATTGGAGGAGGCCGAGAGAATGGTGGACAAGATCTCTCCCGATGACGCCGCGGAGAGAATCATGCAGTGGAAAGCGCTGCTGGCCGCTTGCAAAGTTCATGGGGATTTCAAGCGGGGTGGACGAGTTGCGAGGAAGTTACTGGAGCTGCATCCCGGGAGTGATGCTCCTTACGTGTTGCTCTTCAATCTCTACGTGGACAGGGAGGAGAATCCAGGGTAGCATTGCATGGCATCGCAATCCTTGGTTATAGAGTCACTGTCATATCTCTTTACACGCCAACGTTTTTGCCAAAAAAGCTGACGGTCACAAAGGAACACGTTGAAATAGCAGTGTCGATCCACCAACAAAACGTGGGCACTGGGAGATATACGAGGCTAAAAGAGAGTTTCAGTAATCGTTTTGGAAAAGCCCACGAGATGGAATCCAAGCTGACCGACTCCAAAGTGGTGGTGAAGAACACTTGCTTGGTTCCTCCACGGGAGAAGCTCGAGTCTCCTATTGCCAAGCTTATCCCCTCGGCTCTTTCGCATATGACATGGTTCCTGCCTTACAGAACTCGCTTTCTCTTCTTCAAGAATCCAGTCGGTGATCCTCCTTGTTTCAACGACATTGTAGCGAAGCTTAAGGATTCCCTCGGCAAGGCGCTCACCGGGTTTTATCCCATCGCTGGGAGATTGCTGGTCAAGGAAGATGGCGGTGGAATGGAGCTTGTCTGCAATGGAAAAGGAGTGCTCTTCATCGAGGCAGTCGCGGGAGTCTCTCTTGACGAGCTTGCAAAGAACGAGGTGAATGGCCACTATGTGGGAATCCCGCTGAGAATTCTCCTGGATCTGGCACAAACTGGAGATCATCTTCTCAAGTGGCCATGGACTTTGGATCATCCTCTCTTCATCACACAGGTAAGCAAGCAAGCATTCACAAAAGTATGGAAACGATTTCTCCTCTCCTGTGATGCAAGGTGACGAGATTCGCATGCGGTGGGATTTGCATCTCCGTGAAGTTCAATCACCAAGTCCTGGATGGAACCGGAGCATGGCACTTCGTCAAGTCGTGGTCCGAGATAAGCCGCGGCGAATCCCCGTCGCTGGAGCCGGTGGTCATGGAAACTCCATCCACCATCGCGATTCTCCCGCGCGACGAGAAGCTGGAGATCGAGCTCCCACCGGATTTCATGCTGTGGAAGAACTCGGACGTCGTTCGCAACTTCTCCGCCTCTCACAGCAACGATGCAAGCTCCACCACCGCCATGAAATGCTTCTCTTTCGCAAAGGAGGAGATTGGATCGCTCAAGCGGGAGAATCCCGGGCTCACCACCTTCCAGCTCCTCACCGCCCACATCTGGAGGGAGATCTGCCGCGCGAGGCAACTCCACGACCGCGAGTCAACGGCACTGTTCTTCGCGGTCAACTGCCGCGGGAAAGTCAAAGCTCTCCCGGCGGGCTACGTTGGCGAGGCGGCCATGATGGCTAGGACCTCCACCAGCGCTGGGGAGCTACTCTCCCACAAAGGATTGGAGCGAGGAGCTCGGCTTGTCAAGGAGAAGATCATCCAGAGCAGTGACGAGGAGGAGGTGAGTTTCTACTGCAAGTTGGTTGGATCTTCTCGCGGTGGCGAGTTTACAGTGATGCCAAGATTGTCACTCGACAAGGATGTGAATGTCGGGAGCTCCTTCTACTTCCCGGTTTTCCAGGACTTTGGATTCGGCAGAGCTTGCGGAGTGGCCATCTTTCCCGTGATCGAAGATGGCAAAGTTTACTACTTCCCAGCTCGAAGAGAGGGTGATGTGATTGCTTACGTTTGCTTGGAGCAAGAAGTCATGAACAAGCTCCACCTTTGATAGTGTAGCTTGATAGTCGAGTGCCAAACTAAAACAATGAAGATTCGATTCCACTGGAGTCTAGTCCAAAGAAGACGAAAGAGAAGGAGATAAAAAAACCCCTTTGGAGCCTTAGAACACTGTATACTCTCATGGAAGGCGCTTGGTTCTTAGCGCTAGCACTGCTCATCCTCCTCTGGTGGTCTCGCAATCTTCGAGCGCGTCTCAAGCTTCCTCCAGGACCATTCCCCTGGCCGATCGTCGGCTCCCTCTTCATCGTCAAGGAGCCTCTCCCCATCTTCTTCGCGGAGCTCGGCCGAAAGTATGGCCCCGTCGTCTACTTCAAGCTCGGAATGGTTCCCACCGTCGCCATCAACAGTGCCGCGGCCGCGAGAGAGGTGCTCAAGTCCCGCGACTTGGAGTTTGCGTCCCGGCCAGACCTTGGCAACCTCCGGCAGATCAGCTTCGACTACAATGATCTCGGCGTCGCGCCTTACGGGGAGACCTGGAAGCTCATGAGGCGAGTCTCGGCCACGCATCTCTTCACGCCCTCCAAGCTCAACACCACCGCTTCCGTCCGGCACCGGGAGGTGAAGGCGATGATCAAGAACATCTTGGACGAGGGGCCGGAAGTCGTAGATCTCACTGCTGCCACCAATGCCGCTGTTGTCCAAGGCGTCGTCAACCTTCTCGTCGGCACCGATGATAAGAGCCTGGGAATCGATGCACGGTCGCTCAATGGGATCTTCGAGAAGGCTGGCGAAGAGCTCTTGAATGTCAACCTCGGGGACCTCTTCCCGTTCCTCAGGCGCTTGGACGTTCAAGGCCTGGAGCGCAAGTTCAAGTACGTGGTGATGCCGCCGATCAAGAGCCTGATGGAGAAGATCATCGCGCACCACAAGAGCTCGTCGCGGGAAGTCGAGGACTTTGTCGACGTGCTCGTCAATCTCAATGGGGAGGATGCTCTCACCCACATCCAGACGATCGGGCTTCTCAGCGTAAGTCTTGTTCCTTCCTTGCTCGAGCCTGATCTTGGTTCTTCTCTTCTGCCAGGATTTCTTCATTGCCGGAATAAACACGTCCCAAACCTCCATCGACTTTACACTGGCCGAGCTAGTTCGCCATCCTGCTATCCTGTCCAGGGCTCAGAAGGAGATCGACCAAGTCGTCGGTTCATCTCGGCTCGTCCAAGAATCCGACCTTCCAAGCCTGCCTTATCTTCACGCTGTTATCAAGGAGAGCTTGAGGTTGCACCCGCCACTCCCACTGCTGCTCCCTCACCACAATCCCGCTGCTTCTAAGATCGGCGAGTACGACATTCCTGCTAAATCCACCATCTTCGTCAACGCGTGGGCCATCGGCCGGGACCCGTCAACCTGGGACAGGCCACTGGAGTTTGTGCCCGAGAGATTCTTGGAGCGAGATGTCAAGCTCACTGGAGATGACTTCTCGTTGCTGCCATTTGGTGCGGGAAGGAGGACCTGTGCTGGATACCTGATGGCCATGAGGATGCTTCCGCTCTCAGTCGCCACTGTGATTCAGGCGTTTGATCTGGCAACTCTCGAAGGACGAGAGGTTGATATGGGCGAGTCAACGGGCGGAGCGACACGCAGAAACAAAAATCTCATGGTTTCTGCAACGCCAAGGCTGGCTAAAGAGTTATACGCTTAGGCAGAGTTGTGTCGTAGAACCAACCTGAAGGCTAAATGTTTCCACCAGACTTGTATTCGCCAATGCCGAGTAGATCCTGATCACAGCGATGTCAAGTCAATAAATCACAACATAGAGAAAATTTCAGAGGAGAACCTGGCAAGCTCTAGTCTTGGCTCTTGTTTCTGCCGTGCTTGGAATATCATGGTTTGGTTTAGAGAATCTCTTCTCTCTCAAGTCGCAAGACCCCCACCCGTCAGAAAACCTCCCGGATCTGCAAGTGTCTCGTACATACTATAGCAAAGGAAGAAAAACGGGCATACGTACTGCATAGACGCTCTGACCACAAACTCGGCACGAAGAACATTTGTGTTTTGATCATACTCGATTTTCCTCTCCTTGATCTCGAAAGAAATGCTAAAAAAGAAAGCGATCTTCCTCCATCCTGGCACACACGCATAAACGAGAGATTAAATCCTTGCTTCGGTTCAAGACGCGAAAGAAAAAAACTGACCAGACTTTCGAATGAATGGCTTCCCTTGCATCATGAGATAGTCTCCCTTCTCCAAGATCTAGCCGAAAAGAAAAGAGAAAAAAGCTGGTAAGGAAGTCACAGAAAGAAGAAATCATGGTTACCGCCATGGCTGCGTCCTGGAGCTGCCGAAAAACAGTCGAAGAAGGGATCTCCTGCTGCGGCATCCACGGCGAAACGTTGTGATTGGTAGTGCTGGGTTGCTGGTTCTCGTTTTGATTCGTCCAGGAGGAGCTTGGACGCCCAGCGTCGCGAGCCACGATACTCCCAAGATACGAGCTTTGCTTTTGCCTGACTGGAATGTGGCCATCGGGAAAATGCGACTGCTGGCGCTTGAGAGAGGGAGGGGCGATGGCGTCGGATCTAGCAGCCATGCGCGGCACAATGTAGCCTAGTCCTAGCCCCGGCTGCTGCTGCGGAGAGGGCGGGAGTTCCACGAGTGGATGCCGCCGAGCGGGAGGAGATTGCTGCTGCTGGAATCGAGAAGAAACAACGATCGATCTGTCCCCGCCATACCTCGCAGCAGCGGCGCTGTCGATCGCGGCCCAGAGCTCCGCGTCGCCAAAATCTTCCTCCGCCATCGCCATCGCCATCGCCAGCGCGCTAGGGTTTCTTGGACTTCTTCCTCCACATATTTGAAATCATCACGTATGGCGAGGAGCTTCGCTCCTTGCCATTGATGCCAAAGAGCTCCATCGCCGCCGCGGCTCCATCCTCGGATTTCCCATGCATCTGGCACGCATTGAGCAGGATCCTCCACGCCACCGCGTCGGGCTCGAACGGCATCGTGTTGATGAGATCCTCTGCCTCGAACAGCAGCCCCGATCGCCCCAGAAGATCGATCATGCACAGGTAGTGATCCAGCTCCGGCCGGATCTTGTAATCCTGGACCAGGGAGGTGAAGCAGTGGATTCCATCCTCTAGAACGCCGCTGTGGCTGCAAGCGCCCAGGATTATCATGAACGCGATCTCGTCCGCTTCCACTCCCTCGGCTTGCATCACGAAGAAGACGCGCATCGCCTCATCGACATCGCCCTGCTGCGCGAAGGCGATCATCACGCCCGTCCACGATACCACATTCTTGCGCCGGATTCCCCCGAAAATCCCCATCGCCTCGCCGATCCGGCCGCAGCGCACGAAGAAATTCACGAGAGAATTCGCGACCGCTACGTCGGCGTCCATCCCACACTCGCGGAGGCTCCAATGTACGGCACGGCCCTGGGCCATGGCGCCCGTGGCCGTGCACGCATCCACGGCGATGACGGCCGATACCGTACACGGCTGTGCGCCGTCCAGATCCATGCGCCGGAATAGATCGACGGCCGCGTCGCCCTGCCCATTCTGGGCATATCCCGCCATGAGGGCATTCCACGAGACAGCGTTCCTCCACGGCATCTCGTCGAACATTCCCTTGGCCGTGTCGAGATTCCCTTTCAGGGCATATCCCTGGACCATGGCCGTGGCCGCCACCACGTTCCACTCGGGCAGCGCACGGAAAAGATTCCCAGCCTGGAGCATATGCCCGTTCACGGCATATGCCGATATCATGGCGCTCCAAGATACCTCGTTCTTGCCCGGCATCGAATCAAACACACGCCTCGCGTACTCTGTACGGCCGCATTTTCCGTGCATGTCGAGCAGCGCAGTCGCGACCATGACGTCAGCGAGGTACCCGGTGGTGACGATCTGGTCGTGGAGGATCCTGCCCTGGTCCCAATCCCCGAGCTTGGAGCACGCGTTTAGAATGGTGATGAGTGTCACCTTGTTGGGCCGGAGACCCTCCAAGTTCATGGTGAAGTAGATCCCAAGGGCATCTCTGGGATGCCCGTTCTGAGAATAGGCCGTGATCATTCCGTTCCATGTGACAACATCCAAGTCGGGCATCTGGGCGAAGAGGCATCTCGCCTCGTTAAGATGCCCGTTCTGGGCATATGCCGTGATCATGATATTCCAGGAATGTGCGTTTGGGGCAGACATGGAATCAAAGACGTTGCGAGCGTCTTCCACACTGCCGCATCTTCCGTACATGTGGATGATGTGGTTCGTGAGAAATCTGTTGTGGACGTGGCCATTGGTTTGGATGTGCGTGTGGACGAGCCTTCCGTCCTCGAGGGATTTGGAATCTCCACACTGCTTGAGGAGTTTTGCGTAGTCCGTGTAGTCGATTGATCGATCTTGCTCCATTCGGGCGAGGGCTTGCTGGAGTTGGGGATTGCCAGTAAGGCTGCCTGGATCAAACACCACCATCATCGTTTTCCCGAAGAGATCGACAGTCGACCCACCAAGAAAAATTAGCTCTTGTTCTTCAGTGAAAGCGAAATCCCCTTAGCTATTGGTCGTGATCGAGAAAACTACACGCCAGCGTTTGCGATTTCCATGGCCTCTCATAGCAAGAACAAAAGAATAAAGTATCTCGATGGGCCACTCCGTACAACCAGTGCGGCCACCAAATGCTTGTGGCCCAAATGGCACCGCCGAGGGCCGTGACACGATCTGGAGCGTCGGATGCGGTGCATCGACGGCTGTGCACCGCCTGGGAAGAACAAGGTCATTAGATTTCGGCATTTCTAATGCTAGGCTAACGTTTGTGTGTGTTGGGCCGGCCTCCATTCTTTTCCCTCTCTTTTATTGCGTCCTAGGGTTCCAGGATCCGGCAGGCGAGGCAGGCAGGCGCCATCGATCCAGGCGCATCGCACAAGATCCTTGGAGCGCAGCGAATTCGGCAGTCGATAAGCTGGTTTCTTCCGGCGATCCGGCTGCCGGAGCTCTGGAGAAAGGGTTTTGAGGTGGATGTGAGGAAGATCTACGGCAATGTCGGAGGACGAGAAGCTCCTCAAGGAGGCGAAGAAGCTGCCGTGGGAGGACAGATTGACGCACAAGAATTGGAAGGTTAGGAACGATGGGTGCATCGATCTTGCGGGCGTGTGTGACAGCATTATGGATCCTAAGGATCCACGGCTGCGGGAATTCGGTGAGTTCTAGTTCTTCTCCCACGCACATTTGGGTTGCTCAACAGTAAGTTTTCGTGATTCCAGGGCCCTTATTTAAAAAGAGTGTGGCCGATTCGAATGCTGCGGTACAAGAAAAGGCGTTGGATGCTTTGATAGGTTTTCTGAGAGCTGCCGACGCTGATGTTTCTAGGTACTGCTTTTGTTTTTCTCTTCCTTGGCCTTTCAGGTTTGGAAATTCTTCTCGTCACCCAGGTATGCTAAAGAGGTTTGCGATTCTATTGCGGCCAAGTGCCTCACTGGCCGTCCGAAAACCATTGAAAAGGCACAAGCGGCATTCATGTTGTGGGTGGAGCTTGAAGCATCGGATGTTTTCCTGGTTGGTTCTAGTTCTCTCTCTGCAGGTTTGGTTGTCATCATTTTTTTTTTCCTTTCAGGATACGATGGAAAAAGCTATTAAGAACAAGGTAGCGAAGGCTGTTGTGCCAGCGATTGATGTTATGTATCAAGCTCTCAGGTTGGTGATGGCAGCATTCCTTTTCGTAATAGAGGTTTTTTCTTGAACCATCTGCTTTCTTGAATGCAGTGAATTTGGGACTAAGATAATTCCTCCGAAAAGGATACTTAGAATTCTCCCTGAACTTTTTGATCATCAAGACCAGAATGTAAGAGCTTCGGCCAAGGGACTAACAATAGAGTTATGCCGGTGGATAGGAAAAGACTCCGTCAAATCCATTCTCTTTGAGAAAATGCGAGATACAATGGTAATCAATCTCCTCTGTTGTAGTTTCTAATACTTAAGTCGCAGAAAAAAGAGATAGAGGCCGAGATGGACAACGTAACAGGCGTCTCAAAACCGACGCGCAAAATAAGGTATTACGTTATCTCGTTTGAAACCTGAGACTCAAGATTATCTCGTCTACACCAGATCCGAGCAGACGAGAGAGGTTGAACAAGAGGCAGCAATAGAATCGCCGGGTGCCCCGCCAGCAGATGAAGCGTCCCCTACTGGTAATTGAAAAAACGTTTGTTTGCTGCTTACAAGTGCGATGCATGTTATACAGGAGTGCAAGATATAGACGAATATGATCTGGTCGACCCTGTCGACATTTTAACTCCACTGGGAAAGTCATCATTTTGGGATGGAGTGGTAAGCAAGCTGAATAATGGCCTAGGTGATAATGCATGTTCCTCCTTTTCAGAAAGCTGCAAAGTGGTCTGAGAGGCGCGATGCAGTTGCCGAACTAACTAAGCTTGCGTCTGCAAAAAGACTTGCTGCCGGCGATTACACAGAAATTTGCCGTACTTTAAAAAAGGTAACAGATTGTGTAAGTTGCCTGATGTTATCTGACAATGGTTTTCAGCTTATAACGGATGTAAATATTGCGGTTGCTGTGGAGGCTATTCAAGCAGCTGGAAATCTTGCTTCAGGTCTCCGTAAGGACTTCACTGTTTGCTCAAGAATTCTGCTTCCTGTTTTGCTGGTAACGATGTTAGTAAAGGACTTTCGAAGTCCATCGTTGTAGCGGTTGTGCTGATCCTTTTTTGCGCTTCTTTCGTGTTTTTTTTTGGATGAACAGGACAAGCTTAAAGAGAAAAAACAATTGGTGGTCGATGCATTGATGCAAACTCTTCAAAGCATGCACACAGGTGGTTGTGTGGCTCTCGCGGATGTAATCGAAGGTGAGCCAGACCTTGAATTAAATTTCACGAACACTGACCTTAGAATACCAGATGTCAGAGTGGCTACAAAGAATAAGGTTCCTTCGGTGCGGTCTTCGTGTTTGAACTGGGTGACATTCTGCATTGAGAACAATACCAAGCTCACTGTGATGAAGTTACACAAAGATTACGTTCCCATTCTTATGGAGGTACTATGGTCGCTGCAATATGCTATATTTTACTTGAAAAGGTTTCTCTAGAGCTTAAATGATGGGACTCCAGAAGTACGGGATGCAGCGTTTTCGGCACTTGCTGCTTTTGCAAAAGTGGGATAATCAGTTCGCTCGTTTGTTTAGAGACTAATGTCCCTTCTCTCGTCTTTCAGCACTTGGGCATGAAGCCACTTGAACGTTCTTTAGAAAAACTTGATGAAGTCAGAAGAAAGAAGCTGACTGAAATGATTGGTTCCGGCCCCGGTTCGAACACTTCTACGCCTAGCTCCACTTCAGGTAGCACTGCTTAGATATTTTGTGGCAACTTAACACTTATTCTTTCCTATAGTCGTGGCCAGGAGCACAGATGAAGTAAGTGTTTACTTAAAATTGCGACTTAATTTCTCACACGTGATTTTAGAATTCGGAAGCAGTTGTGAAAAAGTCCGCTGCGAGTTTGTTGTCTGGCAAAAAGCCTACTGCTCCAACCCAGGTATCACCGATTACGTGATTTTGTTGAGTAGAAGCTAACATAAACTACTTGTCTTGTGCTAGAGTGTGAAAAAGACTGGGTCAACGAAGGTAACTGTCTCGAAAAAGGGAGATGCTACAGTGGAAGCAAACGACGATATTGAAGTCGGCGAAATGTCTCTAGAGGAGATTGAGTCGAGAGTCGGAAGTATTGTGCAGCCAGAAATAATTGAGAACTTAAAAAGCGCTGTCTGGAAGGAACGCCTAGAAGGTTTGGATTTCGTTGACTATATTTCTGTATATTCTGAGCCTGTTCTTTTTTAGCTATGACTTCCCTTAAAGAAACTGTGGAGGGGTTACCTGAGATCAACAAAGACAGTGAAATTCTAGTGCGACTCCTTTCCGTACTTCCTGGCTGGGCTGAGAAAAATGTCCAGGTATTTCCTTACTGTTCAAAAACTCTTTACACAAACGTGTTTCTTTCAGGTTCAGCAGAAAGTTATTGAAGTTGTGTGCCATATAGCAGAGAGAGCAACAAGTTTTTCCAAGAAAGCAGTTATGCTCTGTTTACCTGGTAAGACGGAGTTTGTTATCTGTTGAAGTCCGAACTGAGGCCTCGGATCGTCAGGATTGGCTGAAAGATCGTCGGATATCAAAACACGAGCTCAAGCTACTAGGTGCCTTACCGTATTTTGTGAAGTCGCGGGACCAAATTTTGTATTTGATAAGGTATCTGTTATTGATTTTTTTGATGTTATTTATCCAGGGGCGCTTGCAGATGTATAAGATTATGAAAGAACACAGAAATCCCAAAGTTCTCAGCGAGGGATTGTCATGGATGATTACTGGCATCGAGGACTTCGGCATTAGCCATATTAAGTTGAAGGTAACTGTTGCTTCAGTTTGTGGATATGGTATTGATGCTCGACTTGTGATGCAGGACTTGCTAGAATTTTGCAAAGATGTGGGATTGCAGTCTAGTGCACCTGCCACAAGGAATGCAACTATCAAGCTTATTGGGGTTCTTCACAAGTTTGTTGGGCCAGGTTTTTCAGATAATGATGTTGAATATAAAGCTTACGTTTTTAAGTTCTGTTTCAGGCTTGAAGAATTTTTTGACGGATGTGAAACCTGCTCTTCAAAGTGCTTTGGATACCGAATATGAGAAAAATCCCTATGAGGTAGTACAGACCCTTCACGATTTCTTCATTGGTGTCGTAAATGTTTCAGGGTCCCGCTGCCCCGAAAAGAACAGTCCGGGGCGCTGATGACGGAGCTCCTGTTGCTGGAGGTGATGGTTTACCGCGTGAAGATGTCAGCGGGAAATTGTCAGTAACTTTGATGAAAAACCTTGGAAGTCCGGAATGGAAGATTCGGCAGGAGTCCATAGAAACTGTAAACCGGATAATTGAGGAGGCGAACAAGAGAATCCAAGCGACGGGGACAGGTAATTTTTGCTGACTTTCATGATATTCGCTAATTTCTAGTTTTCAGGAGAATTATTTGGAGCTTTGAAAGGACGGTTGAATGATTCAAACAAAAACCTTGTGATGATGACACTTTCGACTCTTGGAAGTCTAGCTGCAGCAATGGGTCCTGCTGTTGACAAAAACAGTAAGGTTGGTTATGTGCTTTGTTTTGTTATAGAGACGACAATTTTTCCGCTGGTGCAGGGTGTTCTCGCGGACGTTCTAAAATGTCTAGGAGACAATAAAAAACTTATGCGAGAAGCAGTTATCAAGACGCTGGATGGATGGGCCGAGGTTTTGCAGCTTGATAAAATGGTACGATTCTTTGCTTCAATCTTTATGTTTCTAACAACGTACATTTTCAGCTACCATACATTGTTCCTGCTCTGATAGATGCTAAGCTATGTGCTGATGGCCGAAAAGATTTGTTCGATTGGGTGACAAAACAGTTGACAAAATGTGTCAGCTGTTCCGAGCTGACCCATCTTTTGAAGCCAATCTCCGTAGGACTACAGGTTTGTATTTCCTTTTGTGCACTGCCGAGCTGTTTGAAAGTGCATTTTGATCAGGATAAATCTGTAGAAGTTCGTAAAGCAGCAGACGCAGCCTTACAGGAGCTACTTCGAGTTTGTGGTTTTGACGCGGTAACTTGTTCTGTATATTTGGCTTGTGCATTTCCTGATAACTCTTGGCAGATCAATAAAGCATCAAGAGAGTTGCATGGTTCTGCTCTCGCGGCGGTCCTTCCAATCTTAGAAAAGCAAAGATCACCCGGAGCAATCGGTACGTATATCTCTCTATAATTATTCTCACGCTAACCTCGATACGCAGATGCCTCCGAGGACAGAGCGGGGTCGAAAGGCAATCTTCCAAAGACTGGAAAACAAACTAGTAACGGTCCAGAACGTCCTGCCGCTAAAGCTCCTCCAAGGGGAACAGTAAGTACTTTTTGCTGGCCGTAATACTTTAATGTCTTGCTTTTGACGGGGAATCAGAAAACTGTTGGAAAAGTTTCAAAGCAAGCTGCAGCAATCGCTGCACAAGATGCTGCTGTACAGGGCCAGGCACTTTTCAACATGAGAGACTCGAATAAGGTGTGAAACCTTTTACTGCCCGAAATCCTTTGTAATTTGACAAAGCCTCCTGCAGGAAGAGCGCGAGCGGTCAATTCCTCGCAAGTATAAATTTGAGGAGCCTAGGCCAGAACAAATACTTGAAGTTGAGGTATGCCGTATCTTATGCATCGATATTATTTTTATGTTACTCTTTAACAAGCAGGCGGACGTTATGAAATACTTCAGGGAGGATCTCCATCGAAGATTACTGAGTCCGGATTTTAAGAAGCAAGTTGATGGGCTGGAGCTTCTGCAAAAGGTGTGAAATTGTGTTTTATTTTCTTACAATTCTAATAATCCTGCTTCCCGCAGGCAATTCCTACGCACACTAAGGATATTGCAGAAATTTCAGATATACTTCTTCGCTGGATTGTTTTACGTTTTTGTGAATCCAATACTACGTGCCTTCTGAAGGTAATTTTATCTTAAGACTTCTTTTATCTTGGGTAAATGTAGTTTTCAGGTGCTAGACTTTCTGCCAGAATTGGTGGAGGCTTTAAAAAATGAAGGCTATGCACTAACAGAATTTGAGGCTACAATTTTCTTACCTTGTCTTGTTGAAAAGGTAATTGACATTTATGCTTGCGAGTTTAGCTGAGCATGTTTCCTGCAGTCTGGTCATAATATTGAAAAGGTTCGGGAAAAGATGCGGGAGCTGATGAGACTCATCTGTTGCATCTACCCTGCATCAAAGCTATTTACGTACATTTGCGAGGGCCTTCGATCAAAGAACAACAGAACTAGAATCGAAAGTGTCGATCACATTGGTTTTATGGTTGATCGCTATGGCGTAGAGGCAAGCCCATAGTCTTCTGCTAGATGTATTATTAACTCATTGTTTCTTTTGCAGATTGCGGGTCCGAATAAGGCTCTGCAATCGGTTGCTGCTTTGACAACTGAACGGGACGGCGATTTGCGTAAGGCTGCACTGCAAACACTTGCGACTGTCTACAAAATAATGGGTATGTGTCATATTCTTTGCTTGCTTTCGAAGGTTTCATCTTTTGTGTCATGTAGGCGATGACGTCTGGAGATATTTAGGAAAGTTGTCGGACGCACAGAAGAGCATGATTGATGATAAGTTCAAGTGGAAGGCCCGTGAAATGGACAAGAGGAGAGAGGGAAAACCGGGAGAAACAAGGGCTGCCTTACGGCGTTCAGTTCGTGAGAATGGGTATACCTTTATACTTTTTAATGTGCGCCTGCTCACATTTTCCGTTCAGGAACGATGCTGTTGAACAAAGTGGGGAGGGCACGTCAAGACCCATCACTGCACCACCTGTACTTCTAAGGTCAGCAAGAAAATATTCTCATTTATTGACATTTCTGTTGTTGTAGGGGTAACGAACACTTCGAATTGGCATCCGCCTCGCCCGCTGGTCCTTCAGATTGGAGCGAGGCTCTGGACACGATAGAATTTGGTTCATCACCAGAGCAGGTAAGTCTTCAATGAATGTTAACTTATAAGTACACGCATGGTTTGCTCAGGTTGTGGAAGGGATGAAGCTCATTTGCCACGAGCTAAGTCAAATGGCTGCCGATATGGAAAGCAGCTTGACAGATGATTTTGCAAAAGACGCAGATCGTCTTGTGCGAATTTTAACGTTGAAAGTAACTACGACGTTCAACATGGGACTTGGTGGTGCCTCCTCAAGGTCTTGCAAATACGTGTTAAACACGCTAATGCAGGTATGTTGCACATGCGTCCTACGTGCTGTACTAACATTATTATTTTGTCCTAGACATTTCAACTTAAAAAGCTTGCTCACGGCGTAAGAGAAGCAACCTTGCATAGTCTGATTACAGAACTTCTTCTGTGGTTACTGGATGAAAGAGTTCCATTAATGGACGACGGCAGCCAGCTCTTGAAAGCGCTAAATGTTCTAATGCTCAAAATACTGGTATGGTCGTTGCTGTAGCATCATGAATTTAACCTTGTGTGTGCCTCTGCAGGAAAATGCTGGTCGCACATCCGCATTCGTTGTGTTGATACGTCTTCTACGGCCTTTAGAATCTAGATGGCCTGGTGTAGCATCCGAAGAAGCAGCGGCTACGAGAGGGCAAAAGTTTTCAGATCTTGTCGTAAAATGCTTGATCAAATTGACAAAGGTATACTCGAATATTTTATATCTTTACTGAGTTGGATTGTCAGGTCCTTGGCTCAACTATTTTTGAGGTGGACCTTGATCGCCTACTGCAAAGTATTCATGAGTATCTTCAAGAGCTAGGGATGGAGGAAATACGGAGACGGTAGTATACATGTTTTTAGTTTTCTCGTTCGAACTTTTATCATTGCAGAGCCGGAGCCGATGATAAGCCTCTGCGGATGGTGAAGACTGTTCTTCACGAACTAGTAAAGCTTCGTGGAACAGCCATTAAGGGTCACCTTTCCATGGTGCCAATCGACACAGAACCTCAACCTATCATTCTTGCTTATATTGATCTCAATCTCCAAGTAAGCTTGCTTGTGGTTGTTGTATAGTTTTCTTACAATCTGTTACAGACATTAGCGGCTGCGCGAATGCTCACTCCAACTGGTCCAACTGGCCAAACACATTGGGTTGATTCATCGTCAAATGGGCCGGCTTCTCCTGCTGGTCATACGGCTGAGGCACAATTGAAAGTAAGCAGAGTGCGATTGCACGAGGAGAGTGCACGACATCCTACGTAAATTTCTCTAGCTCTGTGCATAATAGAACTTACATCAGCGAAGCCCGTTCTCTTTCCAGTTTCATCCGCTGATCGGTACTTTCGTTTTTGTTTGCACAGCAAGAGTTAGCAGCGGTTTTTAAGAAGATTGGAGACAAGCAAACGTGCACGATTGGGTTGTACGAGTTGTATCGTATAACTCAGTTATATCCTCAGGTATAACCTTCGAATTCATATGGGGTAACGCTAACTCGCTTGTTACTCTGTCCAGGTGGACATTTTCTCTCAGCTGCAAAATGCTAGCGAGGCGTTTAGAACGTACATAAGAAATGGTTTAGCACAGGTAAGAATGTTGTCGTTCGTTCTCTCGAGTTCTGAGCCTTGTATATTTCTCTCTTGCCAAGATGGAGAAGAGTGTTGCCGCGGGAAGAGCACCAACAAGCATTGCTATGGTCACTCCACCCCCGGCATCGCCTCCAAGCCACAGCTCGCCAAAGATGGTATCGTCGGTTGCGCCGATCAGCAGCCGTGTCCAGCCTCTTGGGCTGGATAACAACGTAAACTACAACTACAGGGAGGAAGTAGAAGCTCCAGCCGAATCAGACACAGCAGAGCTGAAAAAGATGGTGTTCATAAACACGCCAAAGAGTTACGAGAGTCCCCTCCCGTCAGGTACTCCCACTTTCTCGTTTTATTGATTCTAGAAACCTTTGTCTTCTTTCATACTTCCAGGCGATATCCAACCGGTGTCTACTCCAAGCTCTGGAACTTTGGACGCCATCAGGGAACGGATGCGAAGCATTCAGGCCGCGGCCACGGCTGCTGTTGGAGCCGGCTCCATTCCTTCTCCGACCGCCGCGGCAATCACGATCTCGAATGGCTCCTCCCCATCGTTTAGCCGAGGCTATAGCTCGGAAGTGTTGGTCTCCCAGCAGCAGCAACAGCAACAACATGAAGTAGCAGCCGAGAGTGGAGAAGTATCGACGGCAGTGGTGGCGGTGGACGACAGTGCTCTCTCGGGATTGCAAGCCAGGATGGAGAGGCTGAAAAGTGGAGGAGCTATGGATTCAGCATAGTTCTAGGAGAGCGATGGAAAGAACCAAGCGAAGAACACGAAGAACACAAAGAAGAAACGAATCACGAGCTTGGCATCAAGAAGACTTCTCACTCCATAGCTTGAGCTTTGAGCTTCTAAGCTGTACATACTCTACCACCAATATCGAATCGATTCGAATATTCTGCGTTGTTTAAATATTTTAGGGCTAAAAGTTGAGTAATTATTAATCTCGAATATTTTATGAGATTAATTTTATCTGGAGAATATTTATTAGGGTAGAACATCTTGTAAAAAAAGTGGATTAGAAGCAACGGTCCATTCCAACGGTCCCTCGATTTTAGGTCGTTTAGAACAAGGCTCCATCGCTGGCAAAATCTTGGAGCTAGGTTTCTAGCGCTAGCTTCTCTTGCGATTCGCGATTCCAAGCACGCCGTCGACTCTCCTCTTCCATGGATCCACACCCGCGCCAGGCAAACGCAGGCGATTCCTCCACTCCAGCGCTCGCGAGGAAGCCCCCGGCTTGCGGCGGCGGTAGCAGCAGCGCGACGAAGATCAAGAAGGGCCCGCGGCGGAGAGTGCTCGCGGATCTCACCAACAGCGACTCGCCGATCACTGGCCTCGCTCCTCGCTTCCCCGCGGCAGCGCCGCTGTGTGATTGTTCTTCCCCTGGAACGCCAGGAACGCCGGGGACGCCAGGCGCTGGCGAGGATCTCTTGAGGTCTCAGGTAACTCTCCTCCTCCAGCAAGTCCAGTGCGATGCGCCGAAAGGCCCTCTCTTTGGATTCCATCGCCTTGGCTGCCTTTCGCCCGGAATGCTCGTTGGCCCGACTCCGGCCAACACTCCAGCGGTGGTGGCGGCGACGCAACCATCCACGCCAGTGACTGCCGGGATGCCATCGTCGAGGCTGGGATTGCCCAGCGGGGGACTTCGTGCTCTTGGGTCTCCACCGGAGAAGGATGGAGCGATCGAGGAAGGAAGGATCCAGCGAACAATCTCCGAGATCAGCAAGATCACAATCGCAGAGGTGGGCTCTTCTTTCCGATTGGTTTTTCGCTGGATCTCTTCGTTTTCTTGCGTGTCTAGACGGTGGTTTCCGAGAGGCACCTCAGCCTGGCCGATCGATTCATCACCAGGTCCCTCAACTTCGATTCGCTGCTGGACGATGCCTTGTCATCTGACAACGTTGCTGGAGACGCTGATACCGCTTCCCAGAGGTAAACTTCTGAGACTCGCAAGGAAGAAATCTTCACACCATCTCTCTCTCTCTCTCATTTGCAATAACTCGTCACCAACAGGACCAGAGAGTTTACTCCACGCAAATAAAACTCGCATTCTTTGCAATCGAATCGAATTCTATCCATGGCTTTCTGCATCCACGGCGCACACTGAGCCAAAGCCCGAGAACTGCTGGCCGGAATAGCGACCACTAGTCGGATAAACGAAAGAATCGCCATCGCTAAAGCTTATAACCATAGAACCAGTGAAGTTAGTGAGTGTGATACCTCTTCCCAGATACAAGGAGATTGGGCCCATGCAAATATCCCATCCTCTCGTCCAGACCAAGGTCGTGCTCTTTCGATCCTGGAGCGAGGACGTAATCGTGTCCGTCCAAGTCCAGTACGGGATCCCGTCAAGCGAGGACATCCTCACCGTTGGAATACGAGTGTGCGTGGTCGTCCATATGAAATCGTCAACGCCGAGGGAGTCCACGGTCCACGTTGACTCGATAGTCACCTCCCTCTCAAGCCTGTGACAATTCGGGCGAGCTTGACTTTGCTAGACTTGACACCGGCTTACCGCGATGGAGGATCTGGGGTCTCGAGGATGGTTTCGAGATATCCTGGGCTGGCGTAGATCACGTCTTGGAGCTGGGCAGCGCTCCAGTTCTTGAGGAAGAAGATGGCGAAAGAGTTGACGTCGTGGGTGTCTCCACCAGTTCCTCCTGTTGTAAACGCGGCCCCGACGATCACGCCCGAGTGGACTGGAGGAGTGATTTGCTGCGTGAGGCCTCCCGGGAGATTTCCGCAAGAGAAGAATCGGTTGAAGTTTGTTCGAAACTCTATCCAGCCCAGTCTATTCCCTGGAATGATCCACAGGATCAGCGGAAAAGTTATATGAGCTTGAGATTTCTCGCTTACCCCAGTCGTTTTGACGATTGCTGTGCATCATGAGGTAGACGATGGTCTCGCCACGCTGGAACTCAAACTCCTGGACCGGCAACGGTCCTCGTTCCTTCGATCTTCCCACTTGAATGAAGGAGCCATCGATCGACCAGAGAGCTATCGATTTTATGCAAGACTTTGCTCGCCAGACCATGATCCTGTTGATGAATTTGCCTGGAGAGACGAGGAACTGGCCATAGTCTCCGAGATCCGGCGAGCCGACCATGATGATTCCCGAGCCGATGGTGTGATCTGGAGCGGCGATGTTGCGGCTCGATGAGGAGATCGTCAGCATCGTTTGGAGAAGCACGAGAGCCAGCAACATCTCTTTCATGATCTTTTGCTCCAGGAAACCTTCTCAGCGCTGAAATGTAGGAGACTATATTTTAAAGAACTTACGATGGCAACACACTTGCCACAGCGACTTCTTTGGAACTAAGTTCATCGAAAAGAAAACATTGCAAAGGGGCATGCGTTGAGAATGACAATGTACATGTGCAAGAAAAATACTTACAGCATGAAAGAATTTATGTGCAAAACTTTAGTCTGATCATTTGTTACTATCGTGCATTTTTTACCATGACCTCGAAATCTTCCACACTCCAAACGTAAGGATCGATAAAGAGGAAGCGGTAAGGTTGAGACTTCAGTTCCTCAGTTGGAGTTTCAGCCCTTCATTTCGTTCTCAACCTTCAGTCCTTCTGTGAGTCCTTCAGTTGGAGTTTGAGCTTTCTCTCTTTTTCTATTTCTTGCTCCAAGCTGTGTTGGATCTAGAGGCCAGAAGTGTGGAATTCGCCCAGGATCACTGTCTGACTTGCAATCCACATAATCAGCTGAAAATCATCTAATTTGTATCAGCTCTAAACACTTTTTAGTTTTTTAATGTTAGTATCAATTGGATTAATAAATATATTAACAGGAATATTTCTAATTCGTTTGTAATCAAATATATTCTTCTTCTCTTACAAAGTAAGAACAAGTCAATTAATGAGGACACTTATCCCATCAAAGACTTAACTGGAGATGAGATTTAAGAATTATACTTTTTTGTGCTCCATTGCAAAGAAAGTTTACCATAGCAAAGCATCTATGGCATGATTCATCTATCTGTTAGAGATTTCCATTTGAGGAAAAGCCAGGGAGCATAATGTTCTGTGCCTAGCTTTTGCGGTAACCTTTGCATAGATCCATGGTGAGCTGTGACGCAAGATAAAGACCTTTGCATTGATTGTTCACTTGTGCTGTAATTCTTTTTTCTGATGAGAGCTGCTAGCAATGATAAAAGGGACTGTGATGATTTCTGGAGTCTGGACAATCAAGACATAAGGTCAAGCTTCTAAAATTTTTAGTTTTCTTCCCGTTTCATCTTCAGTTCAATTAGCACCAACTTGCTATTTCTTGCCACTCCATATGACCTTCGTCTCCAACTCCATCTACATCAATGGACCTCACCAAGTTCTATATCTTATCTTCGCAGATACTTAGCTTTCGATACCTTTGTCCATTTTACAACTTGTATAATTCTCTTGCATTTTGCCTTCTTTGAGGACAAGTGTCTCCGTATGCTTTTGGCTACAATCTAGCTTTATAGTTAACTGAGTCAGTACGTTTCTGCAAGTCTGTGACAGCCTCGATGATCCTGGCAGAATGTTTTGCAGCGAATTCGCAGTGTTGGAAGAAGAAAAAGGGCAATCCTTGATGTTGGTTTTTTTTTTCTCATAGTTCTCTCTGACTTCTTTTTTCGTCCAAAGGAGCTCTTCCGAGACTCAATTGACTTTTTCCGACGTTGATCCGGCCAAAACTGAAGGAAAACTGAAGCTTTTCGTGAATTCGTACTGCGTGCTAGGAGAAGGCCGCCGAGATGGTAATGCAGTGAAATGTAGCTTATATCCTGAGTTTCTGTTTCTTCCAGGTAACCATGTCGATTGCAAGTGAAACAACGGTCATGTTGGAGACAGGCTTTATAGAACGATTCCAACGTGATAACGATGCCACACTTGTCGCCTAGATCCAGCGAGCTACAACCATACGTCTTCCCTCTGGTGAGAGAGTCTCTCAGCTGGAGTTTGAGCTTTCTCTCTCTTGTTTTTTTCTTTGGCTCGAAGCTGGACTCATCAGTGTTTGCTCTGATCAACTGGCTTCTTTGGAAGCGCTGTTTCACGCCAAAGACAAGGGCCTTGATCATGCTCCTGGAGTCTCTTGTCCAGGAGCCCATAGATGTCGAATAGGTTCCCCACCTGGCCTGCGCGCTTGCCCGCAAAATCTCGCCCACGCTAGGTACCTTTCCAAAGAGCTTACCATCGTATGCCACCTTCCAGCATTGGTACAATTGAACTGATTGGCACCCCACCTTTTCAAATTGTTTGGTTTTTTATTAGTAATAATGTTCATGTAAACTCTTTCTTTTGAAGATCAAAAGTCCATGCTTCCTGAGGAAAGAGATCACGATAACCAGGAACAAACTTACGCAGAGAAAGGACGATGCTATGACCACCTTATTAAGAGCACGGAAAGAATTGAGACGTGAGAAGTTTAGAAACTGGTCAGGAGCTTACCAAGTTGAAGAACTCAGGATGACAACATATTTGCCACCTTTTTGGAACTAAGTTCATTCCGAAGAAACTAGCGATCATCGAAAAGAAGGACATTGCGAGGACGCATGCGTTGAGGATGAGCCCAATCTACAAGAAACGTACTTACAGAGTGAAGGAATTGCTATGCAAAAATTTAGACCTGTATGAGACCATTTCGGCGATTGACAATCTGTGCGAGAGTTGCATGACGCTTTAGAAATTATTACAACGAAATCAAACCTGTATTTTGATGTGTTTTTCAGTGTCGATTACGTGTTCACTTAGCTGTGTAAGAAGTACTAAGAAGAATATAATCAAGACACTTAACTATTTACCGTTTTAAGCTTCGTTATCATCCCCTCAACTTGCATAAAATGCCACTGAAGAACATATAAGTTCGCAAGAAAATAAAATTTTACCTCCAAAACCTCTTCATGTGCTCCCGGAAAAAAATAATTATCATCGTCCTCTTTTAAAAGGTCCTCGAGCTCCCCATTCACCTGAAAGGCCCCAGGATTAATCCAAACTTAAGTTAATACTTTATTCGCAACCTTTTGAAGGCGAGCAACAAGCCCAGCAACTCCACCTTTGAGGGTTCGCACTCGCTTCAAGTTATATCTATTGATCTGCCAAGAACAAGATAAAAACAAACGTGACAATCTCCACTCATTACCTTGGCAAGGAGGTCATCCAAGGCTGAGAATCCATGAATTTCTAGCTCCTCTACTTGGGCACCAAGGAACTTGTTAATGGATTCCAATGCCACTTTCAGTGCCTCAATCTCAAACTCGTTTTCTTTGAGCCTTTGTCTAAGCTCCTCTATAACAGGAACCACATCCACATTGTTGGGATTCCTTACTAACACTTCATTCCTCGTGATTATGGCTTTAATATGCTACAGAATCAGCAATTAGGAAGCAAAATATAGCATAATAATAAGTACCTCAAGGTTGAGGACAATGGCTCGCTCCCGGATTAGAATCGTGGAAGGATTGGAGAGTAATGGATCCAAAATTCGCAGGTCCCGTGCGTGTATTCCCGTTCGCTGAATGATGCTTGCCCTTTCCAGCTGCAAGAACTCGTGCTTGTCCACCGCCAAGGCGCACCAGAGCTTCGAATCCATATAGGAAGCAAGAACACGGCATATTCACGAGGTATCTAGGGTACAAAAGCACAAAGGTGGTGGATATATGTACAGCCACCACGCATGTCATGCTTAAAGAACAAAAACTGTTGCAATGCACTATGTTCAGATCAGCTCACGAACTCCACATTTTGAAGATCACCAGAGGAGATTGATGATCACAAAGAAATCATACTCCTCGCTGATATCTATAGCAATCCGAGTGATCAAGTTCTCCAAGATCAAAACATTCGGAACAAGTTTGACGGTGGAGCCCTCGATGGACTCCACCACCTGGAAGCGGGAAAGGGTTCCTCGCGTATGATTATCTCAGCATGGGACGATCAATCTCCATGGCCAGAATCCTTTTGGCACAGAGAGTTTCGATGCGCCAAAGGCTGGCGATTACTATGTTTTCCTTTTAAAAGAGTTCAAATACCCGCCAAAAAGTTATTAGGGTTCATGACTAGGGTTTATCGCAAGTAGGGCGCTGGGTGAAGAATGCGTTGATTTGTGTCGCGTTCTTTCGATTTGCAGCTGGCGTTTAAGCTCTCCGGCCTGGTAAGTGTGGCGCCGATCGTTAATCTTCCTTTGAATGGTCCACCGCAAATATTTCGAGCGGGATTTTGGATCAGGGACCGAAATTACGAGGTTTTTTGTTCTTTCTTCCCTGGTATTTGCGATTTTGCTTTCTTTCTTTTCATGCGACTGTTCCTTCCATTTGCAGCGAACTGAATGATGCCGGCTATGGCATGCGCTCGAAAGGCGTAAAACTCATTTGTTTTTTGGCTCGATGCAAATGAGCGAGGAGCGGCTATGGCGGAAGTTCTTTGAAGATCCTTCACTCTGGTGGGACAACAGAAGGAACAAGGTATGGACGGAATTTTTTTTTTCTCTTCCATTTTACTTAGCTCGAACTTAGATTTGGCGGTTTGCTGCAGAGGAGCCCGAGCTATCCAGATTTCAAGCATGCATCCACTGGAGAATGCCTGTGGATTCACTCACGGCTCTGTCCATCCTGGGTGTCTACCAAGCTCCAGCGGCTCGACGAACGTCCCACTTTTCGATCCACTTCCGATACAACAAAATCAAGAACAGCAACGGGAGAGAAGGAAAGGACAGAGCCGCTACGAATCTACAACAGGTTTCGAGAGCTGGGAATAAAGCCCAGAGTCTCCGTGGTTTTGGGTGCTCTCAAGGCCTGTAGTAGCTCCAGGGATTTAGAGACAGGGAGGAAAATCCACGCCACTGTGCTGGAGAATGGTGACTGCCACAACATCTTCGTTGCTAGCTCGCTGGTGGACATGTACGCCAAGTGTGGAAGCCTGGTGGATGCTCGACGTGTTTTTGACAGCATGAAGCAGCGAAACGTGGTGCCTTGGAACTGTTTGATCCTCGGCTATGCGGAGAGTGGAGAGGGAAAAACAGCGCTAGAGATTTACTCCCGGATGCTTGACGAGCAACGGACAGGCGGCTGTTCTCCAAACTATGTCACCTTTCTCGCTGCGGTGAAGGCTTGTTCCAGCTTGGCAGCTGCGAGAGAAGGGGGGAAGAACCAAAAGGTGGCAGATTGCTTGGACAAGGGCCGTGCTGTTCACTATAGAGCGGTCGAGGGTGATGGAGAGCTCCATTTGTTTCTCGCCAACGCTATTGTGGACATGTATTCCAAGTGTGGGAGCATGGTCGAAGCACGCCAAGTTTTTGACGGCATCAAACATCGCAGCATTGTCTCGTGGAATACGATCATCCTGGGATATGCCGAGAGTGGCGAGGGACAGATTGCTTTGGACCTCTTCCAGCAAATGCTACACGAAGAGGGACGAGGCTGCGGTACAAACTACGTGACTTATCTCGCGGTGCTCAAGGCCTGCATTGCTTGGGCAGGCAAGGAACAAGGTGTGCTTGTCCAGGGGAAGCTCGTCAAGCTCGAATGCTTAAACAAAGCGCGAGCTTTTCACTCACAGGCTTCCAGGGGCGGTCATCTCTCACACGAGTTTGTGGCGAGTGCTCTGCTGGACTTATATGCCAAGTGCGGTAGCATGGAAGACGCCAGCAAAGTGTTCGGAAGCATTCCTCGCAGCGTTGTCACCTGGACGTCGATGATTGCGGGTTATGCCGAGACTGGCGACAGTGAGCAGGCATTCAAGCTCTTCCAGCAAATGCAAGACGAAGGTTTCACGCCAGATGCTGTGACTTTCGTCGCTACACTCAAGGCCTGTATCAAGCTCGCCGAGAAAGAGGACCTCGCCGGGAAGACAGAGTGTCTAGAACGCGGCAGAAAACTCCACATGCAAATTTCTCAGCACTGGAGTGACAACGATCTGCCAGTGTTTGTCGCCAACGCGCTGGTGGATATGTATTCCAAAGGTGGCAGCTTGGCTGAAGCACTGAAAAGTTTCGAGAGAATTCGGCATAAGAGCGTGGTGTCCTGGACCGCGATTATCCTGGGAAATGCTGAAAGTGGCAATCCAGAGCTAGCTCTCGAGCTTTACAGTCGAATGGAGAACGAAGGCCGTGTTGAAGCGGATGGAGTGACCATTGTGGCTGCTCTCAAGGCCTGTGCTCTTCTAGCCGCGAGAGAAGTCGATGGAAAAGATCTTAAAGTGGAGTGCCTGAGGAAAGGCCGAGCGATTCACAGTCGAGCAGCGAGAGATGGTCACGACCGTTGCAGCTACGTCGCCAATAGCCTGATCGATATGTATGCGAACTGTGGGGGCATGGTGGACGCTCACAAGGTTTTTAGCAGCATGGACGAGGACGCTCGCTGTGTGGTTTCGTGGAACTGCCTCATTCTGGGATACGTCGAGAATGGCGCGCCCCAGCTCGCTCTAGAACTCTACTCACAGATGAAACAACGAGGCGTTCAACCAGTGGCCATCACTTTTGTCGCTGCGCTTAAAGCTTGTGGAGGTTTGGGATCTCTAGAAGCTGGGATTGAGCTCGAGAAGGAGATCAGAGAGGCTGGACTCCAGGACCAGATAGTGATCGTCAACTCCTTGGTGGATCTTTACGGGAAGTGTGGCAGCATGGTCGATGCTCAACGAGTTTTCGACGAGGCTAGAGGAAGACGAGACTTGGTAACTTGGAACACTCTCATCGATGGATATAGTCGTCAAGGGGACTGCGAGACGGTGCTCACTTTGTTCGAGGGACTCCAAAGAGAAAGACTAACGCCAGACGAGCTTACTTTCCTATCGGTTCTCACGGCGTGCAGCCATGCTGGCTCGATCGACAAAGGCATGGAGTACTTCCAGGCGATGGCTTCTCCAAAGTACGGCGTGGTTCCAGGAATCAAGCACTACACTTGCGTCATCGATCTCTTGAGCCGGGCGAACCGACTGAGCGATGCAGTGGCGATGGTGAAAAGCATGCCTCTGGAGCCAAACGCTATCATCTGGATGACTTTGCTGGGGGCTGCTCGAGAGTGGAACAACGTAGAAGCTGGAAGGCTGGCTTTCGAGGCTGTGATGAAGCTGGAGAAGAATGGAGCAGCGTGTGCTCTCATGGCGAGTATCTATGCTGGTGCTGGGATGCTGGAGGAAAGGTGGAAAATGGAGGAAGAAATGGGAGCTCTCCGGCGACTTAAGGCACCTTAAGGGGGATTACATTAACTTTAAGTTGATGGCTAGGGCTCTTGCTTGCTGCTACGTGACGCGCGAAGCTCTGGCAGCTAGCACTCAAAGCCACCAACAAACAACACAGCACAGAGTTCCAAAGGTATCAATCTTTTTCATTCTTCGTGGCTAACTCTCGTCTTTCACAGTCTCTTCCAGGCATGAAAATGCTAGAGCCGATAGAACAAGGAACACTTGTCTACAAGCCTTACTTGGATTATCTCTGCTTCCAGCTGCTAGACTCGGCCCCAGATGTACAAGCTCTTCCGCTAGACGATCAGCTCGCATTCAAAAGCTCTCCACGCAAGGCAAATGTTTATAACTGGCTCTACTCGTCAAGGAGGCTCCGGCGTATCAGAATCACGTACTTCGATGCCGGGAGAGCTTGCCAAGCGCTCAATGCCTTGCTCTATCCAGACAACAGGTATGTTTTCATTTTTCTCATCGGCTTCTGATACATGTCGTTCGAATTTGATCTAGTTTCGATCTCCCGTTACTGGGAATAGATTTGCTCTCGTTTGGCGCGAACAAGATCCTGTGCGTGGTAGATTTTATACCACTCTTTCAAGATCAAGGCTACTTGGAGAAGTACATTCGTCCGCTCGCGTTGCTTCGCCAGCCTTTTGCAGCACGGTGCAGTGAAATGTCTGATCGTTTCTTTGACAAAGACAAGTTTGCATCGGAGCAAATGATCTTCTTTCGATCAGATCAAGGATCTTCGGAGCCCGATCTCGAGGTAAGCAAAATTCTCCAGCTTCGGTGACTTACAACTCCTGATTGATCTGATCTTACAAAAACAGGTGTTGAGCGGCGGAATGTACAGAGTTTATACGCAATATGTCGCAACATACTTGAAATCTTTGCATTCTTTGGAGCCAAATGAGGATCCAAGATTTTGTGTGAAATGCCACGAGAAACAAGCTGCTTACGACCGCTACCTGGCAGATCGAGATCCCGCTTTCAAAGTTTTTAGCAGCTACTTTGGAAGCGAGGTAAGCAATCAAATCAAAGTTTTTCGACAAAGCAACGAAGTAACGTTTTTGTTACAGTGGACGCAAAAGTTTTGCTACAAGTTCCTCTGTCCAGGAATCAGCATTCCATGCCACAAAGCCAAACAGCGCCAATGAAACCATCTCTCTTTATTTCCAAAACTAAAGCTTTCTAGAGTAGGACAACTTTCAATGAAGTTTTGCTCTGGGCCTCTGGTTGTCGATCTCGTCCATCCAGTCCGAGAGGCTTCGCAGAGCTTTGGCGCCATAGTAGGCCATTGCTACCGATCCCAGCACAAGAGCAACCACTAGAGCATATCTCATTGCCATTTGCAAGCTCTCCTGCAATTTGCAAGTTTTCATTTAGAACAGTGCCCATGAAAGAAGCAAAAGGGAAAAGATACCTTGTACTTCCAGTCCCCGTGAGCGCTTCTCAGTGCGCGTGCTTTGCGTTGTTTCGGCAGGACCTTCTTCAAGTCATCACGACGTAGCTGCAAAAAGAGAGCCAAAAGCATAAATGAAAAATCCGATCGCTAGAACCACGTACCTCTTTGTCTGCTGCTTGTTTGTGTTGCAAATCTTCTTCCAGCTCCTGCGAGGCTTTGGCTTTCAAACAATCTTGATCGCACGGAACTAAAGCCGATTGTTTCTCTCGCGCAGCTTGAACTTCAAAGCACTGATACGCTTTACGGATGCGCTGACATGCACATCTTACAGTGACCTGTGTGGGATTCATGAGTCAATTGAATTCGTTTGCTTTTGGATTCGTAGCATACCTTCTTGGAGCACAGGCTTGGACAGGAGCCTGGATGACAAATTTCCGAGCACAAGTGCGAGCAGTTCTCAAGCTTCCTGCATGCAAGAGTTTCATCAAAGACTGTCTCCTAAAAGAAAGAAATATGTAGCCAAACCTGTGGCAAGGACCTTTGCATGAAAGCAACTCGATGCGTTCGTCCTCGGAAAGGCAACCAAAGGCGCTACATTCCAGTGTGCGCACAAGAGTACCGCAATGGCAAGACTTCTTCAAGGAAACCTTGCACGCCGGACATTTCCCAGTGTGGCAGCCAATCTCACAAGGATGTGGACAAGGTGGATCCCGAGTCTGGGAAACAAAGCATCACTTCAGATCAACGACAAGAAACAAACGGTTATACCTTTGTGCATTTCAGCCGGCAAGAGCTGCACGAATCGTATTGCTGAGCACCACCCGAGGCCACGACCGTTCCATTCGATAGAGCACGACTGATGGTAACTACATGACAAAGATCTCGGCAAAAGTGATTTCCGCACGACAAAAGATTTCCGCATGGTTTTTCACAGGAAAATCTTGATTCGTCATTACACGGGACCTGCAATGCAGTAGTTAAAATGATAGACCGGTCCAGTAAATCAATAAGCCAGTACCATCTTCGACCCGGCCGGATGTTTGCCCATGCACGGCCTCGACACAAGAACAGAACATGGTGGACATGGAGAGCCTGGAATGGGAGAAATCACAGCTTTGCGTTCTTTCTTGGTTCCCTTCAAGACTGGACATGTTAGTCGTGGTCCATGACACCTAGAAGCAAAACTTTTAGCGTCTACAAAGCTAATGCATCCAAAATAATACCTCTGGTTACACGAATGACCACAATCAAGTTTCTTGTTGCACAGCAGTTGACAAGGCGGACATGGTCCATAATGGCATCTGTGAGGCTGCAATACAAGATGTAATGTAATATTAGAAGCCATAGGTTTATCAGAGTACCTTGCATAAATCACCATGACCACAGATATGTGGTCTCTGACAGCGTTTTGAGCATTTTGGAGGCTTCACATCTTTGTCTGCGCCACAAGGAACCTAGAAAAGAATTTCACAAATGAACATCAAAAATTCAAAACATACCTCGAGTGTAGTGAATCCACATTGACACGAAATTTTCACAGTTAAAGGGCAAGGTGCACATAAACCTCTGAACACGAACAACAGTATAATAAGAAGAATATTTCACAATATAAAACCAGAGCCTCACCAGCATAGATACCTGTGACAAGGAGCTGGACACTTGTGATTACCACATCTCAACTTTTTGCCACAAATCTGTCCAGGAACAGCAGAAAACTACGTCATGCCAAAGAAAACAAATCAAGTTCGCGTACCTCAGAACAAGGTGGGCAATCCCCGTCACAGCACCTCCGCCTGCACGCATGACGCTGGCAGTTCCGTATGTGTTGGCACTTCCGTTCACAAACAAGATCCTGGTAGCAAGGAACCTACACAAAACTTCAACTAAGAAACATAGATAGTTGCAGACACATAAAAACACAGACCTCTTTCACCGTGCTCCCACAGCGACATCGCTTGTTGATCAAAACTCGACAGGTTCCCACACAAGAACCAGCATGACACCGTTCCGGACATCGATGAAGTCCACAGGCCAGTAACTTCTCACACGTTGATCCACACGTCGGGACTTTAACATCACAGGCCAGATCCTTGTACGCCTCCTTCCCACAGGCGCAAGTCCTCCTCCCTTGAAGTTCACACTCTCCACAGGCCCCAGCATGACACTGCTTCCCGCATACGTGCTTCTTGCAGCTCAACTCCTTGTCACAAATCCTCTCGCACTGGAAATCGGCTTGAGAGCAGGGGCGAACTTCAGTCACACTCCCACACCGGCAGCGATGGACACCGAACTTGGTGCAAGGCTTGCACTCCCCTTCGTGGCAAATCTCGTCGCAGGAGTGGACTCCACAGCCCAGGCGCTTGGAACAAAGCCTTTGGCAGGAGAAACTCTTGTGGCCACAGCGCCGGAGCTCCGCCAACTTTCCACAGTGGCAAGCCAGCTGGACGAGCTGTGGACATGGCGGACACGGCCCGGGGTGGCAAAGAAGCAGACAAGTGTGCGAGCAAAGTCCCAGCTCCAGCTCGCATCTCTCCCCGCAAGAGTGTGGAGTGAGCCAAGGATCGGACCTTGGATCCACCTCTTTGCCGCAGTAGCAACGATACTCTCGCGGGATCTCTGCCTGTGGATAGTCCCGTCGACACTTCGGACAGTGCCAGCGCGCCGGGGAAGTCCTGGAGCTCGAGTTTCTTCCAGCGGAAGAATTTTCGCTGGTGCTGAGTACCTGGCGAGCCCACGACTGGATGCAAACCAAGTGAAGCACCGCAAAGCATCCTTGCTTGCAGTGCCAGATTGGATCGATCTTGCGGATTTTCTCGAGGCATATCAGGCACGTCGATGCTCCGCCCTTGGTCGCGGCCACGAGGCTGTTGATCCGATTCACACCCGCCTGGAAAAGCTGCCCTGGATCATTATCTGTCGCGGCTACTCCCGGATAATTCCGGAAGATCGAAGCCCCGGGATCGTCATCCCCACTGCTGCTATAATCCCGCTCCTCGTCGTCGCTGCTAGAAACCTCGAGCTGGTTCTTGATCGAGGGATGGAGCTCCTCCAACCTGGCTGGATTTGGCAGCAACGGCTTATCCCAAGCTCGCTGCATCCTTATTTCGGAGAGAATGCAGCGATCTAGAACATACCCGGCGACGCGCCCTGGCCGCTCTCCAGATCCCCGAAATTTAGGGCTCTTGGGCTTGGCGAATATTCATCTGACAAAGTATCTTTACAAAACAAGGAGGGAAAAGTTTTTGCCCTAGCTCCAAAGAGACCACACTGTGATACCCCACCTCTGTAAAGCCCTCTCAGCTTCCACCAAGTTCCATACAAGCTCACCAGCGTGTTTGAAACGTAGAGATCGTTCATTCCACGCATTTTCTTCTTGAAATCCACATTGCCGAAGCTGCCAGGACGGGAATCGCCACAATCATCGCCTCTCAAACAAGTCCAAATCCTTGCCATTTGGAAGGAAATTTCTCGCACAATCCAAGCACATCCCACCTCCTGCCGGATGGATCTCATCTACATTGTAAATGCAAGACAGAAGGAGCGCATGGGCGAGCGCCTCTGCAAGGCGAAAACGAATGTCCTTACAAAGTTTCTTATTTTTAATCTCATAGCTTTCCTCTTCTAGACTCGTTTGAAGCTCCTTACAAGAGAGTTGGCTTCGAATTATCTCCAGCACTCGCAACACCAAAGCTAAAAGCCACGGTTAGATCTTTTGACTTCATGGTTCCAAGGGGTTGTGAAACTGGATCTTTCAATCATCTTCTTCATCACCAGCAACGTTACACTCGTGCACCTCACACCCGAGCTCTAGTTTCTGCCGGGCTCTCCATTCGCAGGCGATTATCATCTGGTTGATTACTTTGACTTGTGTTCGTAAATACATTCCGGGAAAGAAAGGAATGCCTTTGAGCTGTAGCCTTCAACATTGAGCAGATGGCCATTAGCTTGCCCACTGTGTGCTGACTTGAATAAGTTGCAAAAATCTTTTGGAATTTCGATCATCAAGATCACCTTTTGCATCAGTATAGCCGATGGCTACATAAGCTTTAAGACTAGAGTAAACAATTTTGATGTACCTTGGAGATAGATTAGAATTTTCCATGTTGCATACCAGTGTTTCTAAGTGTGCAATAATTCTAGTAGTATATTTCTATTGAAAGAGAATTAATTTGCAAAGATAATGATCACGTTTAATTTGTAAGATAATTCACAAAGAACTGTCATTTTAAATTGTTTGGTGATACATGCTTTGACTTCAGCTAATATGTGCTTAGTAGATGCAATTATTAAGTCATCTATGTAAATTGCAACCATTATGAATTTTTTGTTTTATGATAAATATAAATATTCCAATCAAGTGATGCATGAGTTCATTAATGGTGTTATACCATATACTAGAGGCTTGTTTTAAACTATACATATATTTCTTTTAACTTTGAGACATATAGAGAGGTTGATCAACTTTTCTATTAAAACATTCATTTGATGTAATTCCAAGTTTTAAAAAATAATACTTGGATGGATTTGCCACAGGAGAAAATATCACTATATCATTAATTTTTTATTTTTGAGAGTATCCTTTCATCTGAGACAAGTAAGATATTTAATTTTAAAGATCCAGTTTTAATTAAGAATTCTCATCCATGGTTCAGCAAAAACATATTCTCAAGATTGATTAGCAATGAGTGCCTCATATTCCAAGAGAATTACTTGCCACAACTTCTTGGCACTAATGCTTGAAAGAGTTTCATTAAGTGTATATATAATACCACTATAAAGT